CGTGAAGTGAAGAAGAACCCGAAGGTAACTGTCCGCGAGATCCAGGAGGCTCTTCAGCTAACAGTTTCCAGTCGAACTGTTCGTCGCCGTCTCGTAGCACAGGGGTTGAACAGCAAAGTTGCTCGGAAGCGCCCATTTATCAGCAAGGCAAACAAAGTCAAACGGCTTAAGTTTGCTAAGGAGCATGCTGATAAGCCCCTAGAGTTCTGGAAAACGGTTCTCTGGACGGACGAATCAAAATTCGAACTGTTCAACCGGAAGCGACGGGTTCGTGTGTGGTGTAGATCGGGTGAGGAGCTTCAGGAGCGCCACATACAAGGCACGGTGAAGCATGGAGGAGGAAATGTGATGGTCTGGGGGTGCTTTTCGTGGGGTGGAGTGGGAAGCCTGGTGAAAATCGACGGGATAATGACGGCAGATTCCTACATCGACATCCTGCGGGAAAATCTGGAAGTTTCGCTGATCCAGACGGGCCTTGAGGAGAAATTCGTATTCCAGCAGGACAACGATCCGAAGCATACTGCCAAGAAGACTAAGTCTTTCTTCCGGTCATGTCGAATTAAACCACTGGAATGGCCTCCACAAAGCCCGGACCTCAACCCCATCGAGAATTTGTGGGCGATTCTCGATGCCAGGGTTGACAAAACTGGTGTTACCAATAAAAATAACTATTTTGAAGCCCTGGAGCGCGCCTGGGAAGAACTAGATCCACAGCACCTGAAGAATCTAGTGGAGAGCATGCCGAAGCGCCTGCAGCTGGTCCTGAAGGCCAAAGGAGGACACATTAACTATTAGGCTGGTATTCTTTTACTTTATTTTATGTTTTCTGGAGTTAAAATGCAGTGGGCACTTTTTTTTGTCACTGTTCTTTTTTACACCCATTTTGATTTTTTTTTCTTCGAGTCAGTCTCTTCTTTTTATCTGGTATTCTATAAGTGAAACTTAAAAAGAATATAAAGAATAAGATATAAAAAATACTACAGTGTATTTACTTTAATTTGAACCAAATAAATGAGAGAAATTCAAAAAATGATGGGGTGGGCACTTTATTTTGCCTATCAGTGTACGTATGGTATCATAATTGCATCATGCTCTATAGGCTAGAATACATCATCAGGATTAGAACTGAAGAGCTCATTTTCATCTGTTATCGTATTTATCATGAAACATTTAACGAGCATTTACAATCATTCGAAGTGTTCATATCAAATGAGCAGAGAATCATTCCAAATGCTGGGAAAGTAGATACTTTTGCAGTTAATTTGCATGAAGTAGATGAAAGAACATATTTTAGGCACTGTAACTTAGAATGGCATAATATACGCATCAAAATAATTTCTCACTTATTTAAAAAAATAAAACAAGAAAATACCACGAATTATAAAAACAACCATATTCATTTATTGGGCTAAATAATTTTTTATTTAAACCAAGAAAAATAGCATTTTTGGTCCAAAAATTGACTCTATTCCTTTTAAACACCAGATATTGTTGTATCACAAAAAATCATTTTTGCTTTTAAAAAAAATATTGTTACGCGGTCGTATCATCGCACTTTTGAATTCAACAATAAATATTGTTGAAACGAAAGCATGATTATTGTTGAATCAAAGATATTACTTTATAAGCCGGGAGATAATACAACTTTTTTGTTGAAACTATACTGAAAATTGCTGTGTTCAAACATATTTTCTCTGCGTGTAGATTTTCGTCAACTTTGAGATAACAACGCTATCCACTATAATTTTTTCATCTACTTTCATATTATGTGATAAAACTATTTACCTGATCGTGAGAAATGTGAAAACAACATCAAGTTAGTTTGTCCCATGGACGAGTGCACCGATGGATTTGAGTTCACTCACTCGAGAAAAAGTGACACAAACGGCGGGCAATGTTTACTAATCACTAAATGTTCATGAATAATGAACTCGTCCATCCAGGGCTGAAAAAAAAAACACTAAAATTCATCAAAGTTCACTATGGATGAAACATTCATTTCATAGTGAATGCTTTTGATTTTTTTCACTCCCATCAAGCAAATCGCTTATCAGTACCATTTTTATTTTTCCAGTCAAGTTACAGTTATGCTTTTTGGATTACCATATTTTTCGCTGATATAACAAGACATGGCTTCATTACAAATGCCGCGATAAAGCGCATAAAAAGAAGCGATGTAGAGCGAGCTTGATCTCACGGTAAGGCAACGATGAAAATTGATGGACTATGCTATCCGTTCTATAAGCAATGTTGATCGATAGAGATGAACTAGCCTAAGGCTAAAAATCTCTTAAATAAAGAAAAAAAAAATAAAAAAATGTTGATCGATTCCAATATGCCAAATTACTTTAAAATCAAATTTAGAACATAGTCACAATATTTTCCCTATGTAAATATGGTTTCTAGTGCGGAAAATAAAATCCCGTATTTTCCCGGCTTTCCTAGTACTCTTCCAGTAAACATAAGAAGCTAAACTAAATAACGGCTTTAATTCAAAATTGATAAAAAAAAAATGTGCTTGGACTTGTGGTTATCGCCTGTGCATGTTTTCATAATCACAAATTAGAGGAAGTGATAGAGATGCTCCAGGAAGAGTTGGTGAAAAAAATGTGACGACCAGAAGGATGAAGAGAAAGGGAACGAAAGCGAAGCCCATAAACAGCAAAAACTAGTGTTCAAGTATCGGAATGATGATTATGAAGAGGCTGACAATGTTGACTTCATAATACAATGTCAATGACATAACACTATGCATACTATGTTAACCCTTTCATTCCCAGAAGGTTTTCCATTGTTTTGACATGCAACAATGTGTTTTTGAAAAAAAAAGGTTCTGCTAGAACAATTGATATTCCACACAGTCTAAAATGATAGAACCAATACAAACAAAGGTTTTGCATAAAAACAATAGTGTTTTAATTGTTTGGCAATAGTTACTCAATTGAATTCTCAATAATACATATGGACGAGAATAATTATTTCACGGAGATGCTTAAATAAATACTGACTATTTAGTGGTAGATTGACAAACATGAGATGGACCAAAAAGTTGTGGATCACCTGTGCTGCCATGGGAAGGAAAGGGTTAAAGAACGCTTGTAACAGGGTATAGTTAAACCATTTCTACTATTGTATATAAATGATACTCGCCGTTAGTAAAAAGTGGACAGTTTTCTAAATTCTAAATGACTTGCTATATGGACTTCAAGTATTTATTTTTAATCCAGTGTAATTGATGTGCACCACACTTCGACTCAGGAGCTCTCAGGAGCTAATTCAAGACAAACAACTGAAAAACACACTTCAGCTTTTGTAAACAAATCTTCTGCGATCCTTTCCTAGCGAACGAAGATCGCATACCTAACCAACAACACAATCGTTAAGGGATATGTATATTCCCTACCTGATGGTGTACTTGGTAATTTGCGTAGGCGATGTCAGGTTCGCGAGAAAAGGTAGTAAGTTTTGTTGCAAATTTCCAAATTTCATACCCATATTTAGATGTCGCATTTAAAAACGGTTGGGCCTTCTAAACCTCTAACCGAGCGATTACGAAGAAACATCTCTTAAGTTTCAGTTTTGTGCAAAATTGAGTGCAAGTATAAACACAAAAGCAAATTGCGTAAACATTTTTTTCCTTTTTAAGGGAATGAACGTTTTTCAGTTTTAGGTATATTGGTGATCAGTTCAAGTCCGATGTACTTAAGGTCCGCTGACCGTGGCTCATCGTTATCGTCCCGTTGGAAATAGAAAACCATAAATGGCTACCCCAAAAGCTAACCAACTTCGTCTATCCATGGGTTTAAATGGACCCTTCCTCCAGTCTACCTCTATTCGACGAATGACCCCAAAGAACAATCACACTACACGAACTGGTGTGTCACTCAATCCGATATTTTAAAACATTTTATTATACCTACTAACCAATAATTATTGTTGTGGGTAGTTTTGCCACAGACAAACAGACACAACTCTCGTATGTTGTTCATTGATCACAATTTTTCCTAGTTAGTGTGACGAAATTGAATTTTCCGTCCGTGTTTGATGTTTACACACTACCGCTATCTGTTGAACGGGTTGTACGACATTTAGCGGAAATCTGATTTGCCGAAGTACTTTTCGGTGACGTAAATTTCGTGAAGTTCCATTTGGCAGAACTATTTTTTTAGCATTTGATCTTAATAAAAATCTAGAATAAGTTACCTTGTTTTAAACATGAGCAGTTCTTTCTAATTTTTCAGTAATTCTGAACTTTTGGAAACTTATAAGCCTCTGGCTTGAAATGATTAATGCGAAATCTCATTAATAACGCTGGGAGTTTTCCTTCCTTATTTTAAATAATTGAAGAATTGAACCTTGTTTTAAACATCAGTTCTCGATTACTTTTTCGAAGAGACGTATCTGCTTTTGTGAACAATGCATTGATCGTCGATTCCTTCGAATTTTCCCTATCTGATGATAGTGTTAGCATGCGTGGGCGAGCTATCAGTTAGGCCAAATCGAAGATCAAATTTTATTATTATTGAGCATTATTTACAAGAGCAGATACGTCCCTTTGAAAAAGTAATCGAGTTATTATATTGCTTTCGAGTTGTTCTATCCTCGTAATCTTCAGCGTATAAAAAGTAAGTCAACAATTAAAATGGAATTGAGCATTGAGATTCGGCGAAATGATTTTCCGTGAAATGTCGTACAATCGTTGAGCGTACTACCCGTCACAGTGTTCTCAATAGATGGCGGTCGTGTTTTAGCGACGATGTTTTACAGTGAAAAATATTAAATAAATTATGTCCGTTTGTCTGTGGTTTTGCTTTATGGTCAATTTGCTTAACAAAAAGTGAAACAAAACAATCAACAAAGCATTCAAAACGTAATCCTTGCAAAGAGGTTTACGAAGTGAAACGAAACACGTTGCTACGGTAATCATATAAAACGAGCAATCCCTTGTACAGGGAAGGTAAATCGACCAGAAGTGAACTTTAGCTCTACATCGTACTTACTTCAACTGCGACGCTGATTTGAACTGCTGTCCGCACTTGGGACACATATCATATTCGCAATCGCGTCCCTCATGTTCCTGCTGAATGTGTTCGTTGTAGTCTGCCTCCAGGGGAAACTCTGCCTGACAGATGCGGCACCGGAAGACGCTGTGCTCGTCGCGTTTGTGCTTGTTGCGGTCCCACTCGGTAGTGAACGGATATTGACACAAGGAGCAAACGAAGCCTCCCGGTGGATCGTGCCGTTCCGAATGGCGCAAATAATTGGATTTGTGGAGGAAAACCTGATCACAAACCTGTGAACAATAGAACATAAATCATATTATTTGGTCGCCCAACTCCTCGACAGTACCCACGACCGCTGAGCTAATGGTGGTAAGCTCCAATTCGGATTAACTTTTATACACCCTGTTTGGATGATCTGCAACATGTTTGCTTTGAGTCGTTTTGATTAACTCTGGTGTCGACATGAAAGCTGCCTGACATTATTGATCGGGATTTAATCCGAGGATAATACCGATTGGAGCTTACCACCATAAGTGAACTGAGCCGTTTTTACTGTTATATAGGAACTTCATTAAATCCGGGGATACTGTAGCAGTTAGCACTGAGTAACTCCGGTTTTTATGAAATTCCCTAAACAGCGGCCGTGGCAGGTAGATGATGCATTTAGTCTTACATCGCAGGCATAGTGGATACCATCCATGTCGTCATCGGAATTCTTTTTGCCTTTCCGAGGGGAAGACTCTTGGTCGGTTTTCGGTGGACGACCGCGCTTTCTTGCCATCGGTGAAACTATTTCCTGCTCTTCGTCGGAACTCATTTTCAGCAAGTTTTATGCGTTTTACGGGACGAGCGTCACTTTTAACCTCGCAGATTTTAAGATACACTTTTCACCAAAATCTAAGTGTTTATCACGTCTTAATTCACTTTTTTCACTTAGCTACAGCTTGTTAAATACGTCGCGTTAGTTTTTCTATAAATTTTATTGAACATAAACAATGAATTTACGGAATTAATGCACCAAAATTAATAACACTGTACATTGTGAAAATTTCTGGGATCCATGTTGGCTTGCAAACGCGAAGAAAAGGAGCGAAAAAGTGATGAAACATGAAAATCGAAAGATGTCAGCAGATATCACGCACACAAATGAAAAGAATATGGACGCGGTGGTAAACCAATCTTTTCTATACAAGGTACGCAGATCTAGCCCTAACGTATGTGTTGGTAGAGGAAAAGGTATATATAAGCAACAATCAATTCGAAACTACATTAATTTAATGTATCTGTCAAATTAAGACAAATATTTGTCTCGTGTACTAATACCTTAACGATTGTAAATTCTGGATCAACAATAGAAAAGGGCCCATCAACATTTGTAAACAAACCAACAAACCGTTCCAAAGCCCTTTACTCACAAAGCGAAGGCCACCCACTCAAACCAACACCATTATCGGATAGGGGTAACTTACGCCTACACGATAATGATGTTGGTTTTTTTGAGCGGCCTTGGATTTGAGATGAATGGGCTTTGGAACGGTTTGTTTACAAATGCTGATGGGCCCTTTTATATTGTTGATCCAGAATTGGCTCACTACTTGACTAGTAGGGAGATCGAGTGCAGGGAAGTTGGCCTACATTTCTCACAAGTTCCGGATCGAATCTCAATCCACAACCTGTAAAAAAAGGACTCACCTAGGGGAAGTACAACTCGAGGTACAACTTGATGTGAAGTAATATTTGGTGTAAAAATTGCTCATATTGGTAGTTATTATAGTTTTTAGTATAAATATCAATGATATTAACTGTCAAGTGGAAAGCTACAAAGTAAAACAAATTAACAATGTAGTTTTAACGCATACACCTCAGCATACACTCCATGACGTTTCGCGGTTGTTGTTAATGTTTTCTGCAGCTTTCTGTTTCATCATTTTTGCCTAGATTTTCGTTTCCGATAGCTCTGATCGTTTTCGGCTTCGGCTTTTGATGATAAAAACGGCACTGGACTAGGCAAGTTCCCCCAGCAGCAAATCTCTTCAAATTGCAGGCTCATGGCGAATCAAGCGTAATACGACCACGGAACCATCAATCTGGGACTCCGCTTACAGGGGCGGCGTAGTCAGTCGATTCCCGTTCCATCGGAGGACAGCACATGGGTTTGCAGGCGATTAAGAATTCGAGGAAATTAATGACTATTTCCTGGGAACATGCGACCGATTATGTGCACTGAAATCAGCTACCAAAGAATGCCGAATTTATGAGAACAAGGAGCGGATTTCGGTGGAGGTGGCCAGCAAGATCATCAAAAAATGACATGCCTCTGGTGTAAAATCCATTCAGTGCTAACATTTGAAAACGGCGCAAAAGCCATTTGTAAACAAATGGTTTGTGGGCCCTTTACTCGCTACCCGAAGAACGCCCACGCAAACCAACAGCATCGTCAGGAAGGGGAAAATTTCCCCTACCCGATGTTGCTGTTGTGTCGCGTGGGTGTACTTCAAGTAGTGAGTAAAGGGCCCACAAACCATTTGTTTACAAATGGCTTTTGTGCCGTTTTCAAATGTTAGCACTGTATTTATCCATTTTAAACGAATGTCAAATGTACACTTAAAACCAAAAACTGTAAAACACAAAAAAACATCTGTCAGACTAGGTGTAAGATTCGCAAATATCACACATATTGAAATATTTAATATTTCCACCATCCGTACACACTAAGACTATTTCACAGATTTCTGTAAAATTTTACCGAAATCTCAACAGCTGAACGTTTGGTAAACAGGTTTACAGTTTTTCTGTAATTTTTTACAGATATCTGTGAAAAAATCACATATATTTGTGAAAAAGTACAGGAAATCTGTGAAACTGTTTACCGAACGTTCAGCTGTTGAGATTTCGGTAAAATTTTAAAGATTTCTGTAAAAAATTCTAAGTGTGTATTGATGCTGATACTTGGAGCTGTCCTTCCCCTAGGTGCAGGATGATGTTTCCTAGAAAAAACAACCAACTCAGTTTTCTCCGGAGAGAATTCGATACCCAGCTTCATAGCCCAAGTAGACAAATTGTCTAAGGTATCTTGCAATGGTCCTTGCAGGTCCGGTGCACTTTACCCTACAACGGACACAACCCCGTCATCTGCAAGCTGCCTTAGCGAGCAATTTTCATCAAGGCAACCATCAATGTCTTTTACATAAAAATTATAAAGAAGGGGGCTTAAACATGAGCCCTGGGGGAGACCCATGTAACTAATTCGTGAAGTTGTCGAGTTTCCATGAGAGAAGCTCATATATTTCTCAGACAACAAGTTGCTCAAATAGTTGTTCATAATTGGTGAAAGCCCACTATCGTGGAGTTTATCCGAAAGGACATCGATACAAACAGAATCAAAAGCCCCCTTAATGTCCAAGAAAACTGAACCCATTTGCTGTTTTTGCGCATAGGCCAGTTGAATTTCAGTTGAAAGCTAGTAAGCCTACTTGTCGGATTGAAAACTAGTTAGAACCAAATCGACATCGGTTAGGCTTCTTGATGTCATTTGTGACAACTTTCAAACTTTCCGTTTCCGTTCCACTTCCGTCCACATTGCGTTTGGGCCTTTAGTTTCGTATTTTACCACTTTGTCAAGCAGTTTTGGCGTGACTTTCTACCAGCGATTCCACAAAACTGGACCAACTAATTTCTATTTTCTTATGAAACGCTCAAATGATGGCTACTTTTCTCGTGGTTCTAGAAGAAAAAATCTCAAAATAATGTTTTAGTTCAAAGTTCGAGTGGTAGTAAACGTCATTTCAAGAGCTCAAATGAAGTGGTTAATTGCGAGGGGCAATTCACTGCTCTCAAAAATGAATCGAAAATGCGTGAATGAAAAAAATACACAAAAATTCATCATAACTCGTCATTACTCAAAAAAAATACAAAATTCGGAAAAAAAATACACAAATATTCGACGAATAATAAAAATACACGATAATTCGTCAGAATCCCAAAAATCTGTCTACGTAACTAATGTCAAGCCCCTAATGAGTTTATGAGTTAAGCCTCTTTTCTTTAAATTGGGTGAAATTCTACTCATCAGTGGGTAGTTCAACGTTAGCGTGTGCTGTGCATTTGTCAAACAAAACGTCAACATTGTGAGTTTGATCCGTTTGATTATCGGTTTGAGTGGTAAACATAAACACTGAATTGACAGAATACACTTATAACTGATTTTCAATACATTAATGCATAAAAATACACTTTTATTTTTCTAATACACAGAAAATTACATATATTCAAAAAGTGCAAAATAATACATTAATACGCAAAATACACGTTTATTCGATAAAAAATACTAAGAGATGAACTAGCCTATGGCTAAAAATCTCTATAATAAAGTATCAAAAAAAAAAAAAGATAAAAAATACTTCAATACGTTCATCAATACGTTCCCGCATAAGCGAGAACCATAAATTGACCTTACCTAAAATGGTTATAAATTGTTTATAATCCCTGCTAAACTTCAACTGAAATGGTTATGGAACTTTACATGAACGTTTAATGATAAAGTTTTAACCTTAAGTATTATAGTTTTTTGGAAGTGGACCTTACAAATAATGGGTTGTTAAGAACCATTACCATTCAAAATTCTTGTTTTCTCCATACACTTTCGCAAAGAAAACTATACTAAAACCTTTTAACTTATGGTTTGAGAACATTAATGGTAATGGTTATGGTAAGCAGTAAGGTCCATGAATGGTTTTGTAACATCGATCAACTTTATGTGGAATATATCGCGAATTGGTTGCCTGCAAATTACTGATTACCAATTCACGATATATTTCACGTAAAGTTGAGCGATAATACAAAACCATTAATGGACCTTACTGACTACCATAACCATAACCATTAATGTTCTCAAACCATAAGTAAAAACGTTCTAATATAGTTCTCTTTCCGATAATGTATGGAGAAAACAAGAATTTGGAATGGTAATGGTTCTTAACAACCCATTATTTGTAAGGTCCGCTTCCAAAAAACCATAATACATAAGGTTAAAACTTTATCACACAAACGTTCATGTAAAGTTCCATAACCATTTCAGTTGAAGTTTAGCAGGGATTATAAACAATTTATAACCATTATCGGTAAGGTCATGTGATGGTTCGCGTTTATGCGGGTTGGCCTGAATCGAAAATACACAAGTGAATCGCCCCTCGGTTAATTGATTGTTGGTATTAACCGTATTAATTTGGTATTAAGCGTGGAAAGCTGGAAAAAATCGGTTTGTTCGACTTCCATGACAAAGCCCCTGTTATTCCAACTGCTCGAATAGTGTGAAATTCGACTATGAAGTATGAATCCCAAAGATTTTGACTGCACCCCAGCATCGTGTTTCGTGTTCTGTTGATAAACAGAATAAACAGTCGACCCGGCAAAAAAAAAATCGTGATATTTGTTTTGGTTTCATGATTTTTACTTTAATTTCCATATTTCCAAACCATGGTGCTCTTGCAACCTTTTCTTTATGGTTCTGCAAGGAAAGTAAGTAGTAATCATAATTATACAACTTTTTAGTCAATATTTGATTGAACTTCCCTTCACCTCAGTCAATTCGCAGTCATTTGCGTGGAAACTTCCTCGATAGTTTACGACTTTCGGTCAAGGGTGGACACGGCGGAAATGGATTGCCGAAGTACGGTGGCGTTGGCGGCCAAGGCGGAGCAGTCTATTTCGTAGCCAAGGAGGGAAAAAGTCTCAAAGATGTCGTGCACAAGTATCGTGCCAAAAGAGTCGTTGCCGGTAATGGAGAGGAAAGCAGCAAGGCACGAGTTCTGGGGCGGCGGGGATTGGATGAGAAAGTGGATGTGCCGGTGGGTATTCGAGTGTTGGAAAACGATGGAGCATTTATTGCCGAATTGGACGAGGAAGGAAAAACTTGCCTAGCGGCAGGAGGAGGCAGTGGAGGTTGCGCTGGAAATTCATTTCTTGGAAAGGCTGGCCAAACAAGAACGTTGAAGCTTGATCTCAAGTTAATTGCCGATGTTGGTCTGGTTGGATTTCCGAACGCTGGCAAAAGTACACTTGTTAGAGCACTGTCAAATGCTACGCCAAAGATTGCCTCGTATCCATGTAAGTTGAGTTAAGCTTGAGGTGTGCTGGGGGAGGTTTTACATAAAATTTCGATTCGCTTACAGTTACAACGATTCGACCCCAGATTGGTACGATTGAATACGAGGATTATCGGCAAATCACGATAGCCGACTTGCCCGGATTGATCGAGGGTGCGCATGCCAATTTCGGCATGGGTCATAAGTTTTTGAAGCACGTGGAACGGACGCGATTGCTGTTGATCATTGTTGATGTTTTCGGGTTCCAGTTGAGCCAAAGTCACAAGAAGCGAAATTGCTTGGAGAACATTTACGCTTTAAATAAAGAACTAGAACTTTATGATCCAACGTTGCTGGAAAAGTCTTGTGTACTGCTGGTGAACAAAATGGACAAAGACGGGGCAATAGAGGAAATTTCTAAATATGAAAAATATTTTGGGAATCTAGCAGGTAAGTGTTAGAGCCCGTTCGTTAGGATTATAGCTAATGAAATGTACGATTTTCTAGATGGTTTGCAACATTGTCCAGAAGAACTCGTTCCTAAACAGCTAGTCAATTTGGAACGAATAATTCCCATCTCCGCTAAAAATGTAAAAGAAATCGACAAAGTGAAACAAGCCATCAGAGAAGTGCTGGACGAGAAAGCAGCAGAACTCCTAAGTGAAGATGCCAAGGATGGTGACAATCTGGAACAACTTCGGGGGAAGTTAACCGAGAGGGGGCCTAAAGTCGGCTAGAACGATTAATACCAGTTAAAGAATGAAATGTTGTAGAATGTAGTTGTGATGAGAAAAGTTAATGAAAAAATAAATTCATCCAACTACTCCCAGCTTTATTAGGCTTTCATATTAAATTTAAATTTGTTAGAAAAGTGAACAATGTCTTGTCGGTAGGTACGTATTGTTGTGCTTAGAGGCTTTGCAATAAGCCGAGGATGTAGCTCCCTAAATCTTCATCCTGGTTAACCCACGATACGCTACAAATCTTGTGCTTCGTTGAAATGCCTGCCGGTGGTGGTGGAACGGAAGCTGATCCTGGTGGCACGGTTATCGGATCGTCGCCTTCGATCTTTATATTTACCGATTCCACATTGATTGAGCCATTCTCATTCATCGAAACGGTCCATCCCGAGAGGCGCTCGTTTAGCAGGTTGTATAGCTTCTCAACTGTTCGCAGGGTTGGTCCCGGATCGTCAATTTTCACTTTCGAAATGAATCTGAAACAAGCATTAAAAAAATACATTGTTTGAGTCACGCTTGAATGCCATGATTAAATAATCGCATAAAGTTTACCTTATTACGTGACGATTGATTCCACATTCGTTGAAGATTTCATCGATGCTCATCAGCGAGATTTTGTTATCCTTCATCACCAACAACCCGTGGATGACGCGTCTACGCTTCGGATCTGGCGGCTCGGCATTGTACTTTTTAGCTTCATCCTTTAAGATTGACAGCGAAGCTTCGACTGGAATTTTGATCGGCGTACTTATCACGCACGTTTCTCCGTTGGCCGGTGTGAAACATTCTATCTGGAACTCTTCTTTTATCTTTTCCTTCAAAAACTCCATCTTCATCGCTTCCCCATGGACCAACATTACGTTCTTGGGTTCACAATACTGAATCAGCTGCATGATGCCTTTCGCGTCTGCATGAGCACTGAAACTCATGTATTCGACCGACATCTTAACTTCAACCACCTGCCGATTTTCGAACTCCACCTTTTTCGCTCCACCGAGAATCTTGTGTCCGACCGTTCCCTGGACGCAATATCCAGGCATGATAACCATGTTGTTTTCATTAGGCGCCCATTTCTTAAAAATCTGCAACGACAGACCGGCGTGAAGCATACCGGGCGTCGCAAAAACAACCATTGCTCCAGGATTATCGATGTACCCCTTATCGAAAGGTTTAATGTGTTTGAAATCGAACATATTGCGCTGCACGAATGTCTTGCGAATCTTCTGGTTGGTCCAAGTGATGAACATCTTGTAGTAGTTGTTAGCCTTTTCCGTCAATCCTACAGCAAAGTATATCGGGTACTTTAGGTTCATGCGCTCCCAGTAGGTTTCGAGTAGAATGCACAATTCTTGAGCACGTCCCAGAGCAAAGACCGGAATCAGAACCTTGCCTCCTTTGGCTACACATTCGTGAACCTAGAATTGAACGAAAACAGTTTTGCTTTAATCAACAATCAAACCCATCCAACACTAACACCACTCACCTTCTTTAGAAAATCTCTCTCCCGGCATCGTTTCGAGTCCCGAATCGTAGTCGCATAGGTGCTCTCCGTAATAAGCAAATCCGGTTTGCACTTATCAATCCACGCCGCCCCAAGATGTCGATCCGGGGTCATATTGTAGTCCCCGGTGTACACAACCGACTGCGATCCAACCCGAATCCAAAACATAGCCGCTCCCAGCACATGCCCTGCGTAGTACGCCTTTATCTCCAGCTCACTATCGACCATAACGCTCTGATGCAATGTTACGGCAATCACCTTCTTCATGCAATCTTTAATCATCTGCGTGGTGAAGAAATTGCTTTCGCCCTTACGTTCTACGGCAACCTTCCGCATGTCTTCAAGCAGAATCGGAGCGATAGCTTTTGTCGGATGAGTCATGTAGATCGGACCCGTATAGCCAATCATTTCCGTCATGAATGGTAGAGCCCCGCAGTGGTCCAGATGAAAGTGTGAAATTATTACGCAGTCGATGTGGTTCGTTATTGGACCTTCCGGAACGATAAAGGAAAAATCCGGGAAGCGACGCTCATCGTTGTAACCCATATGCATTCCACAATCCAGCATAATGTTTTTGCCACCCATCGACAGCAGAATGCAGCTCCGACCCACATCTTGGCCTGCCCCTAGAGGCGTAATCTTGATGTCTGGCATGATAACATCCAGTAACTAGCAGTGGCGCGACAGACTTCCACAACCAATCACCGTGGTGGCAAAAAAAAGTCCCAAATCAAAGCGGGTTTCTTACCTCACGTGAAGGTCGCAGGTATGAAGAAGTTTCGTTAATGTAGAATCAAAATTTAATGTTTCAAACTCACAGAATGGTATGTACCGCGCACATTAGCAAATCGTATGCGAGTAAACAAATCATCAACCGAATGACTGCTGGCGGATGGTGGATGAAGAAAGGAAAAGGGTTTTTTTAAGCCGCATGCAGGATGACGTAAGAAAGGAAAAAAAGAAACCAACCCACCTTCTTTGCACCCACTGAATACACACTAATTCCATAATACGGTCATTGGTTGGAAATCGCCGCAGATGTCGCCACTGCCACTCAAAAATATTAGTAAACAACGAAAGATTAAAATTGAATCATTTTATCCTTAAATAATATTTATACATTGATAAGATTAATATTCAACTTCAAAATTATACTAATTTAGAATAACGTCTCACAATTCGTTCAGTGTATACCTGCGTTGCGTTTGACAGGCATCTGTTTTTGAAAAAAAAAACAAAATCTGTTGCGAAGTTTATCAGTGCGCGAAAAAAGGAACAAAATTTAGGGATTCTTTCGAAAGCAAGTCTGTAAAATTGTTTGCAAATGAACGCTGGTCGAGGTTAATAGCAAATAATCAAGTAGATCTCTATCCGACATCTAGCGAACTTAATCATGGACAAGGGCGAAGCATAGGAAGGTTTCAAACGAAACCTGGCACCATTGCCATCTCATCCCCACAGGTAAAAATCGTTGTTCCAGGACGGATCGAGTGTAGTCACATGGACATTCTGATGACTATCCAATATATGGGTTCGACCCAAGTGCAACCCGCTAAAAACAACAATGATCCGACTGGGTTCCGACGTCCACCTCTGCCAAGAAAATGTACGCGATGGCCTAGGATCGGAAGCTGACTGAGATCCGGTAGGAGAATGCCAAATCCTTTCAGGTATGTTACTGGGGTGTTCTTTTTGTACGAAAATTATATTCTTGAATTAATTTCAGCACAAGGAAGCTGCCCCATCCATGCTGTCGTTAGTTCCTGATGATTTCGATGATTTACAAAGTGTGGAAGTGAAAAAGAAAACGCCAGCATTCTCCAAGGAGGGTTTCGTTGCAGCGCTAAAGATGAACCCGGCGCAGCGGGAAATGGAGGAAATTATAATTCTATGCTGATTGATTAGCTCACTGCAGATACAGATTAACCCGATTGGTTGAAACGCTGATAGCTGGCAAGAAGAGATAGCTCGACAAGGAAAACAGGACATAGCAACACAACCCCAGCCCGATACGAAACAACCTGGTGGTAAGTCTGGCCAGTCAAGCCAGCTGGAGCCCGGAATCGATCGTAACCACAACCCATTCGATGATTGCTAGATGCTCGGTGAGATGATCACGATGGCGATGATAACTGCAAGTACAATTATTGTAAGGAATAATTCAAAATAAATAGCTTTCGATGTTTCTTCATACTTCGTTTCTCTATCCATTTAAAATGAAAATAAAATTCTAGTTCTGACAGCAGCCTGAATACAAGCAAACCAAGTTTTAACTAAGCTTGTATACTTGCAGAATATACATTATGGCGTATAATCCATTTTTATACTAAGTGTGTATTCTCTTTCTTTATTCCAAGCTATGCGTCGGTCAGGAGAGTTGTGATTTAGTGTAACTTTTAATCTATTTAGATTTGAAAATCTTTTGAGTTTGCATGATTATGATAACCTAGAGGTATCCCACTCTAAACTTATGCAGCCAAACAAACTGTCAAAAAGTGTAACCAAACGGACTGTCATCCTTTGGTTTGCTTCATTAGGACCCGAAAAATAATAATTATAATAAAACAATGAAATTACAATGATTTTTGCTGTTGAATTTTGAGTACATTAAGATTTATTGTTAAATTATTGTACGGGAGAAAAAATAGATTTCGATTTTTAACAATACTCTAAACTTCATACCTAATATCAATGAAATATTTGTAAATCCCGCGTAAGTATTCTTAGGTATTTTTAAGTATTTTAAACCATGGCTATAAATTTCCATCGAAGTAACACTTATTTTTTGATGACCGGTTGCTAGTGTATGACATTGTGTTTGTTGTTGACTTGTTGTTTCGGTCGTCTTGTATTTATACAAATAGGAGTGTTAAGTATTTTCATTATGAGTATAAATTAGTATTATTTAAGTTATATTTTTCAGCGATACAGCTTGTAAAAATGCTTCAAGGGCTGGTTACAAATAATGATGTTTTCAGTACAAGTTTAACGGTATTTACCGATCGACTGAACTGAAAGTGTGTATTGGCTCACATATACCCTCTCCATATATCATACATATACCATATATATGTATATATACATATACATATACCAGATCCTGCGATGATGAGTATTGGTATATTCAGATATATGCGTGCATTAGCTGACCAGAGAAAAATTTGCGATGGCATGAGAGAGACAACTAGTACTTTTCTCTCTCTCTCTCTCTCTCTCTCTCTCTCTCTCTCTATCCCTCTCGTACCTTCGCAAAATCTCGCCTTGCGCGTGAAACATCGCTCAGGGCGGAATTCACCTTATTTCTAAACATGTTAATTACCTATAGCAGTAAATCTGACTACGATTTTGTTTTTGCAGTATCGATGATCTGAAGCCGTGAAAACGTGTTGCAGGCCTGAGCAAATGCAGGAAGAAAAGTTTGTCGATCTACCGGGTGTTGAATGGGAATGATCGTGATTCGTTTCTGACCGGAAGCTTTTGGCCCTCTTGACTCTCCTTTTGAATAAACTACTGTATTGATTATTTTGAAAAATAAATGCAATTATTATATCATATTGAACACAACGTTTTATTTGTTTAAATTATACGTAGGAAAATAAAGAAAACTAAACCCGTTCATTTAAATAATTCTGACTATATTGCTTATACTGTGTCCAGTGGCCTTTATGGTTTATTATCTACTGTGGAAAGCTACGAGATCTGCGTTTCCGCAATACGCCCATATTCTCGTTTAAAATACTGTCCGGACGTAAACGAGAATATGGGTGATAGTATGGTCACACGATTTCGTACATCCAATTATGTTCTTCAGACATTCAGGCATTGTCATAGTCACAAAGCCAAGAACCGAGTGGAAAAAAAAACAACACAAAACTCACTATTAACCAATGCAAATGATGGAACTCGAACGAGTAACAACAAAAGGTTTCAATGCCTATCAGAATTAATTCTTTCTGGTACATGGTGAACAAATTACACCGTAAATGGTCCAGGACACCTATAGCTGTTCACGCTTCTAATCAAATTAATGCTAATTGTTTAACAAATTAACCAATATCCACACAAAACGGCTGACATTGGATAAACAAGCAAATCAAATTGACATAGCAACCAAGCAAATAAACTAACGCTAGATATTTCTTAAGTATTTTTAAGTATTTTTGGGAATCTTAGATATGGGAATCTTATATGTATATTAGGACGGGAAAAATACAAAGTTTAGAGTGGGATGCTCCTAGAAAATTAGTGTGATGAGATCAAATTTGTTCGGGAAAAATCACTTTTTTATATTGTTAAGATGCTTAACAACCCCCTTTTTTACTGTAAATTTCTCAAATACCATGATTTTCATTGTCGTGAACCATGAATTTCGTTGTGATTTTATGGTAATGGACAAAAATGTCCAATGTTTTGACAGAAAATATCATGGTTACAATGACAATGAAAATCATTGTATTTTTATTGGATTTTTTTTTACGGGGAGCAAGTATTGTGATCTAGTGTTGTTTTGACAAAAAGCAAAATACAAACAAAGAGGCGAACTCCTAGGAAAATATAGTTTCTCTCAATGTAAGTTTTTCCAACATATTATTATTTTGCGGGTGGATTTGTGATAGTGAAAAGGATCCTCTCTCTCAACAGGATTACAAATTCAACATCCACTACGGTTGCGTTAACTCTACCCAGCTATATATATATATAATATATATGTTTTAAATCAACATCCGGCCACTGGCATTCGAATCTCTGTTCTCGATTCATCAATAAGTTTCTTGGATTGTTTTTTCAATTCCCATGGGAAACGTTCCCAACCACCTGGCTAAATGAGGTCCATCTGCCAGAAGCAAACATTTTATGGGAGTGTCAACAGTACGGTAAGTATACGGTAAAAAAACATCACGTTCATGTAAAATGATTTGCTGTTGAATTTGCACTACTTGCCAAACATTGCAATTCGATGTGCAAATCCCTTGGGAGAGATCATATCGAAGCACGATGAAATCAACAGCAAAGCACTTCATGTAGATTGTATTACACATCGTTGTTGATGTGCTGTGCTTTGAACTCGAAATTGTATAAGTGTATTAAATGATGTATTTTAAAGTATTATTGATTCTTTACGTATGCCATTAAAAAGTATTTTCAACTTCTTTATGACAAGCCGTGTTGCTTGGGCCACTACTGATTTTTGTTGATGGCATTTCTTTTTTTTCAATAAAATAGTATTGTATCCGAGCAATCTATATTTTATCATTGACACAAATAATAAAATTCCGCACCCATTATATTTAAGTTCTAGAAATGATTACTTTTTACAAATGTTGCTGTAAAAACCTTTCTTGAAAAATGTGTAAAAAATACTCTTCTAATTGACGTTTGCTAGGTTTACACATAAATGTGTAAACACAGTGAGTAGGCCCCTTTTTTCACGAAATGTGTAAAATTTTACACATTTATGTGTTTACGCTGGTTACCGTGTAAAACCTTATTTGCCAAGAATGTGATTGTAAGTGTTATGCCTGTGATTAAATTTTAAGCAAAATGAGAATAGTTTAATTTATCAGTGTACTATCCAGCTTTCCATGCTCGGTAATGGCGGCCTGTTTGTATGAATAAATGTATCCTTCACTGTGCTTTTTGACACTAACTGGAGGGCGTATGTTGTTCCATTTTCTTCTGTTCCTGGGAGAGGGAAAGGGAAGGGGTTGAAATTCGAACATCCAGATAGTGTCAAAAAGCACAGTGAAGGATACATTTATTCATACAAACAGGCCGCCATTACCGAGCATGGAAAGCTGGATAGGCCTTTTTAATGCACCACCAACGTAGAGGGCACCACGCGAGTTCGAGAGGAAACGTAAACGAACCCGTTTGTTTACATCAGAACAAGGATTTTTCACAACGCAAATTATAGCATTTTTCATTGAACATCTTGCCAGTTTCCATCGGTAGGTGTCTTAGTTTACGATTTTCCACACATCTGCACTGATTTGCACCTAAACTATTCACACACAAGAAATCCGGAAGATTTTAGCCACTAAGGCACTATTGGAATTTTGCATTTTTCTCAACAAAAATATTCCTGAACTCTAGCAGAATGCTTACAAAAATGATATATAATTAAATTTTTTAACTAAAGATCAAATTTTCGAGCATCTCAGATGAATCAATTTATCAGGAAAAGTGAAAAAGTGTTCCGCTTCCAATGTCTCACGGCAAAAATTTCTGATCACAACGTTCTTTTTGACGTTCTCATATTCACCACCAGAGGTTGAATCGATCGATGTTTCTATTAAAAAGGCGTATCGCTGCCGTTCCGCTTCCGCTATCATTGCGTTCGGGCCATTCATTAAGATTGTTAACTTCGCGTATGAAGTAACATAAAAAAACACTTTGAATGTAACAACTCAAGGCGGGAGTAGCCGTCAACAATGCTGATGATGGTACAGCACGCAACAACCACCCTACTGCTTTCTCTCTGAGATGATCACGTTGGTCATGACGAGAGGAGCAACACAATAGTTGGGTAAAGAAGAACTGCATTATAACACACCATCGACTGGAAATGCTCTCCCAACGTGGGGCTTTAGGTAGTGATGAAAACGTCGCTAGAACTATTCCGCAGCCGCAGTCAGTTTATGAGCAACAAGAGGGACGCACATTTTTGCCTGTGGACTTGGAGACATACTTCAAGTCCCCGCGTACATCGTACGGGCTAGGCAAAAATGTGCGTCTATCTTGAAAACTGTCGCTTTAATGGCCCTTCGCTCATTTTCAACTTCTATTCAATTTTCATACTGCCGTATTCTAACGGAACTATCCACCTACCCTCTTCTAAAGATCATTCTCTAGCTAATAAATCATCACACTAAAGCTTCATGTTAGCATTTCCAACCAACTCTATAATTTATTGTTAATGCAATTTTTGTCCTGTTAAATCACCTTTCTAGTCAACTGTGCAGTGGGTACAACTCCATGTCGTACTCAGTCTCTGGTCAAATATCAAAACAAAGCCGAAAATATTGACGTGTAAGTTTTTCTCTGGCCGCAGAATTTCTAAATCTACACGCAAGGAGAAATCAATTTTCTCGATAGGAATATAAATTGCCGAGTTCCTGCCGAATCCGATTAATGAACTTTCTGAAAAGTGGCCTCCAAACAGTGCTGGGTTCGCAAGAGCCCGGCACTCTACCCACCGGTGCCGAAACCGTAAGTATCCGGTTTCCAACTTTCACTCGCCAATGTAATCTGTGTTATCAGTAAGCAGGTACCTAACAGAAAATGTGTTGTGTTATCATTTGCTAGGTGGAGCGTTTGGTTGAGCGTGTCAGCTCTTCGACGTTACTGGAAGACCGTCGTGATGCTTGCCGGGCGTTGAGGGCTCTATCGAAAAAGTACCGAGTGGAAGTGGGAGTCCAAGGATTCCCTGCTTTGCTGCAAGTGATGGAGATGGACCGTGCCGATGCGGAAATTATTGGCTATTGTTTGGACACCTTGTGTCATGTCACTTCGAGGGAACCTTTCGAAGAGGAAGCAGATAATCCGAACATTACGGTCAACATTGGAGAACAGTTTACGGAGATTTTCATCAAATCTAGTGAAAATGTAACCCTGGTGCTGAACAGCTTGGAGGAGTACGATTTCCGAGTGCGATGGTCAGCCATCAAGTTGCTGACCGGTTTGCTAGCGAATAAGCCTAAGGAGATTCAGGAGATCGTGCTGGTCAGTCCAATGGGCGTGTCGAAACTGATGGATCTACTTATTGACAGTCGTGAGGTGATAAGGAATGACGCTTTACTGCTGTTGATTCAACTTACCAAGGGAAATGCCAACATTCAGAAGATTGTGGCGTTTGAGAATGCGTTCGACAGATTGTTCGATGTGATAAAGGAGGAAGGAAGTTCGGACGGTGGAATCGTAGTTGAGGACTGTTTGCTGCTGATGTTGAATTTGCTGAAAAATAATCCGAGTAACCAGCAGTTTTTCAAAGAGGGTTCCTACATTCAGCGTTTGGCTCCGATGTTTGCTATTCCACCGGAACAGGAAGAGATGGGCATGACGCCGCAAAAGATTTCTAACTTGCTGCGCATGTTACAGATAGTGAGATCGTTGGTTAGTCCGAGTAACTCTCAACAAGTGGTTTCTTCATGCCAGAAAGCGATGCGCAGTTCAGGGCTTTTGGAAGGACTTTGCAATATCATTATGGGTAGCGGTGTATCGCCGGATATTCTCACGGAAACGATCAACACAGTGGCAGAGGTGATTCGAGGGGATGTGAATAATCAGGAGTACTTCAATTCGGTTATGGCTCCCAGTAATCCTCCGCGACCAGCGCTTATAGTTCTGCTGATGTCGATGGTTAACGAGAAACAGCCCTTGCCATTGCGCTGCGCCGTACTATACTGCTTCCAGAGCTATCTGTACAAAAACGAATCTGGTCAAAATGCGCTTGTTCAGACATTGCTTCCGTCGACAGCACAAGTTTCTTCACTAACTTCCGGGCAGCTACTCTGCGGAGGATTGTTCAGTACCGATCCTCTTTCCAACTGGTTTTCAGCGGTATCGTTGGCACATGCTCTTTTGGAGAATCCAACTCAAAAGGAACAGTTGCTACGTGTGCTGTTGGCTACTTCGGTTGGAAGTACTCCGGTGTCACTCCTTCAGCAATGCACGCAGCTGCTTCAACAAGCCAACTGTAAATTCCAGAGCAAGGTGGCACTGCTGATGTTTTTGGCCGTCTGGTTAAGCCACTGTCAACTGGCCGTCAAAACATTCCTATCGTCTCCGGGAAGCGTAGCGTACCTGATTGCGCAAATAGCTGCCAACGAGCACGACGACAATGAATACCTGATTCAGGGTCTGTGCGCCTTTCTGATGGGAATTTGCATCCAGTTCAACGACAACAGCGTTCAGGGAAGTAAGCGGGAAGATCTTTGCCAGCTGCTGATCAAACGCATCGGACTGGAAACGTACAGCACCAAGTTGGGCGAGGTCTCGAAGCATGAGAACTATAGTCGATCAGCCAAGCAACCGCAGATAAGGATACGCTCCAGTACGGATTTACTGTTGGATTACGAGTTTTGCAAATTGTTTAAAGCCATGGAATGTAAGTATCTAGATGTACAGTAACGGTTTAGGAATTGGGTCACGATGCACACAGGGAGAGGCCCAAAATAATTCAGAAACAACATAATTTATTAGAAGATTTAAAAAACAATTTTAAAGACGGCAGCAAATTATGCAATTTTGTTGTAGGTAGCTAAGAGATCTCGAAAGTTTTTCAAGGTGCCGGGATTGAAATTTTTGAAACGCCAGTAACGCTACTGGGATGGATTCCTTAAACCGAATTTTGGAAAGTGAGAAATTTGAATTAAAAATTGTTTTAGAATTCCAGAGACACCGTTTTGAGATCTCGGACTTAAAAAAATCGTCATGATTCTGCTGAGACTTTCGTCAAAAAAAAAAAAAATAAAAAACAAACGTAATACTTTTAAGAAAATTGAATCGTCGATTTCCTTAAAATTTGATAAATTGTTCTGCTACTTTTCAGCTGTCATCACTATTACGGTAAATGGTTACGGCAGCGGAGCAGAAAACATTACCGAGCTAACGCTAAGTCAGGAGGCATCCGGATTGGTAGGACAGTACAAAGATATCATACGAGATCAAGACAGCCGACTGCAGAAATTGCAAGAACAAATGAAAAATGTTGAAACTGAAAATATGCAGTTGAAGGTATGGAGACGATTAGTTGACGAGACATATTTTCTACAATCTCGAAGTTCATCAATCTCAATCTTTCCAACAGGCACAACTTGAACAAGCGCAAAACACCAACGCTCAACTTTCGGATCAAAACATTCTGCTAAAGGCTCAACTGCAAGCAGCGTCGGATTTGCAAAAAAGCCTACAGCAATCTCCATTCCATTTGCTTCCCACGCAAGGAGAGAACCTGAATCATCAGGTGGAGGTCCTCGAAGGCCAACTGGCGGCGCTCTCAGTGCAACAACAGGAACAACAGTCGAGAGTGAGCTACTTCGATACGGAAAACAGACGGCTGTTGAGCGATATGGAAAAACTACGACAGCGAGTCACCGAAGCGGAAAAATCCGCCGAAGAGGGCAAGAGCGACTTGGAAAAGTTGCAAAAGGACCAGGAAGACTTGATGGAGCTGCTCACTGATCAGGAGACCAAGATGAGAAGCTATCGGCAGTCGTTGAAGAAGCTAGGACAAAAAGTAGAAGATGATAGCGAAGAAGACGAACCAGAAGTGGATGGCAACGAAATCGTTTCGTTGCAATAAAGTATTCCAAATGGCTATACACTAGTTTTAATGATTGCTTGCAATTTATCTTTATTAACCTACGCATTTATGCTGTAAAATTATTGCATGTTTGACACAGGTAGCCAAATCGAAATAGTCAAACCATGCGAAGGAGGTGAGTTGCATATTTTTCATCCGCTTTGCAGAATACAATATTCAAATATCACGGTGCATTAAATTGGTAATGAATTTGGTTTTAGATTGGTAGAGAAAATCCACAGCATTCAGGGTTCTTCTTTTGTTCTATTTGATGAATCGGAAAAATTAGGGTTTTCCTCAGTGAATTATTTATCATCGCTTACCTTCTAGTTAATATTTTATTAAGAATGAGTCCAATATTGCTGTCTCTCCTTTTGTAACTTCGCTTTAGTACGAAATGACCGGCATAATCACATTGAGCATCTGCAAAACGGTATCAGAGGGTGTGAGATAGGAAAGTAAAGATTCATCTTTTCAGTGGATACTTATTCGTTACCTTAGTGTCAGTGTTGAATTGGGCAATTACTCGGGTTGAATCGATCTGGTAGTCAACAAACGCATCCAGCAGATATCCTTTCTTTCTTGCTTCCAGCAGAATTCTATCCTCTCCAACATCCAAAGTGAATTCTTTGGCAGATGTCTGTAAATAAATGAACATGCGAGAAGTTATGTTTCTACAACATTTTCTGGCAATCAACGAAATCAACGTACACATTCCGGTAGATAAAACTCTCCTATCAGCATTTTTGCCTTACCGGCCGCAGGTTCGCGAAACAATCGACAGTCGGGTTTCCGTGGAGAAATCGCTATCTTTGTTGGATTCGGAACATGCTCATCCTTGCCGGACATCTTGTTCCGAACGTCCTTCATCGTTTTGATTGTGACCGGATCGATCTCTTCAATGAGCTTCTTTTTCGGTCTGGTAGTATTGTCACCCAACTGGGACGGGATTTCCAGCTCCTGTATCTTGCTCTTATCAGCGTTCGTAGGGTTCTTGTAGCTTTCCAGCACCGTTTTCACATCCCGGTTTTGAATGTTGTGAGCGGTCAGCTTGTCAACAAACTTCTTGTTCTTCAACACAATCCAATCGGTCTCCTCGAGTGCAATATTATACTTGGAATCGATTCCTTCCAGAACAATCGTTATCAGAAAATCTCGCATCAATCCTCCGGATTCGATCTTCTTGAAAAAAGTGGAATTTACGGCAATGTCAGACACCTGACATTGCCTGTCCGAGTTGTCCTTCATGATGCGAGGCTGGGTGATGCTCATTGGGATTTTGAACGAGCTCGGTGTGCCATCGTTCAAAATAGCCATCAGCTGGTCATCGGTGATGTCATCCGGTGCTGGAATACCATCGGTTTGGCAGATGTTGATGAAAAACTTCTCCCGTGTATCCTTCCGGAATGCTTTCAGGCAGAAACCTGTTGATAAGATAAGGTTGGAAATTAACTTACGTTTGACAAGGTGGTCTATTATTCGGTTGAATACATTGTACGATAAGGTGACGCTGTAGTAGCGGCATCAAACTCTGATTACTTTCGAATCATAAATCACTAGGCATAATGTCACTCATGATGAAAATTAAAAATTTCTGTTTAATTGCAGATGTATACCTATTAAGTATGTATAGGAACTTTTTAACACTAAGTCTTTTTGTTTAAATTAATTCAAACTAAAATTATGTGACTCAGCTTAGGCCCCTCCCAGAATGAAAGATGATAACCGAGCGGACACAAATTGCAAATTAAACAAAATTCCCTTAAGTACAACGAGTTTTTTTTCTTGGTTTGTTTTCCGTCGATCTTGTTTTCCGTGCTGAACACAAATGCTACCGACGCCAGGCAGGCAGCTCCCTCACCTGGACCCTACCTATAGACCCATCAACTCATGAACCGGGGACCAACGGCTTTCCCTTCCGAAGGAAGGCGTGATCAGAGATGTTATGCCTCAGAACATCCCGGGAGATTGAACCCAGGCATGTTGGGGTGAGAGGTAGTCACGCTTACCACTACACCACCGGCGCCGCTACAACGAGGTTTCCCAAAATTTTATGAGGATCCCGAATCATTTCATAGACCTTCAAGAAGAAACTTCGTAGACATTCGTTGAAATCGGTTATTCAAAATGTGAGAATTATCCTTAGGATATATAATGCAATGAATTTCACTTAGGTTCTATGAAGTTTCATGAACTTCTACAAATTTTGCTGGACTTTTATATACATCAAATGTTCTGAATTGCTGCACTCCTAGAATGTTTTCAGAACATACTCAACTTTTTGGCTCAGCTCTGGTACTATCATAGAGGTAACTCTAAGACTAGAAGGTCTCGAAATAACGTGCTCAACTTTTTGGCTCAGCTCTGGTACTCTCTTCGGTCCCAAGCTAATCGATTCACCCCTCGAAACATAGGAAAAACCAATAACCCCTCATTTTATCTGTCAAACTTTCATAGCGAATCAAAACAAACATAGTGTAGTACTATAATTTTGACTAGAATGGGGCCATTACCGAGCATGGGAAGCTGGATATCAAAGGAGCTTGTAAAATCAATATCAAGCATGATATTTTGCTCCAATATCACGCGTGATATTGAGAGCGTATGAGAACGAGAAAATATCAATTTGATAATGATTATGCCATCACTGTATCACGACCTTCATGAATAATTTGAGCAATGTTATGACACTTCATCATAGTAGGGATGGTAATACCAGCAATCAATACGAAACTAACGATTTTAAATTGGCTCACCACTTTAGTAGCCTATTGGTCCCAAGCAAACGATTAACGTACCCTATTCTAGTTGAAATTCTATTACTACACTATGTTTGTTTTGATTCGCTATGAAAGTTTGACAGATAACATCAGGGGTGTGTGGATTCATGCAGAACATGCAGGGGTGAGTGAAATAGCTTGGGACTGCTTGGGACCGTTGTTCTGGTACTGAGTGAGCCAAAAATAATAATGATTTTCTTCGGAACCCAGTGGTCTTAGAGTTACCTCTATGGTAATACCATAGAGGTAACTCTAAGACCACTGGGTCCCGAAGAAAATCATTATTATTTTTGGCTCACTTTCTTTTTCTTTTTTTTTTCATCCCCAATGATCGGGGTTGATGAGAAAATTTTTCAAGTGACTACGATGCCGGACGGATTAGTCTATGGTGACCAATTAAACACCGGATTCACGATATTGATTAATCATAATCTTCTTGAAAATCTTTATGTTTCGGTAATCGTTGGTCTGTCTTTGTCTATGTCTTCTTCTCATTCGTACGTCAATTTTAATGTCTGTATGTTTTTTTGTCTAATGTCATGATGTGTTTGTGTATCTGTGTGTGTGGATATGTGTTTTTGTGTTTGCACCAAATGATTATATTTCTTCCTCATCTCCTAGTTTTAACTGCGTTCAAGAATAATTAACTAAAAAAAATTAAAAAAAGCAAACAAACAAAAAACGTTGCAGAAGTCCATACCATAACATATCTAACTTACTATCCACATTTTTTGACTACTGCTAAAATCTGACTACTAAAATCTCAAAAAGATATTCTCACAAATGTATTTCACTCAACCAGGAATCTGAAAACCATTTGACGCTATAATAATATCTTGCACATGATAGACACAAGAAGAGGGCAAAAGACAAACGTCCGACACACAAAACCCGTCAAATCAACCCACAATCAACTATTCTACGAATCGCGAGCGCCCATGAATCATAAAACCGCCGACTGCGACACTCTGAAGGCGAAATTGACGGCTCTATGCGTCAAACACCGGCCCTCCAATCTCCTCCCGCATCCAACAAACACAAATCCCTATTACAACATCTAACGAATTCAAAACTTCGAAAATCACTCATCTATAGCAAGTGAGTGGAAGAAACCCTGCATGCAACCATTCTTCATGATACACTTTTTCTGCCTATCTTTCTATTAAGCCTGTGGACATGCGTTAGCTTCGAAACTTCTTACCAAACTGGGAAATCTATCAGATCACAAAAACTTGAAAAATCTTTCTAAGGTATTATTGATTATTTTACACAAAAACCAGGAAGTAATATTAAATCTTTTGTATCGTATGCTAATGCCAATTGACTGTAACAAAACTAATATGCTAAAATAAAATAAAATTTTAATAAAATTATATGCAAAATTTACTAGAAGATCATTACTTTATTGGTGAGAAGTTTCTAATAAGCCCTCCCAGTTCCTCTGTATACATAACAAATCTGATACTATAATCCGAATTGCTCAGTCTGCTGAAGCAGCCGATTTCATCAAGGAAGTTCTATTAACAACCAAGAATTAATCGTTTGAGGTATACTGAAGCATTAAGAAGGTGATATGTGTCACTATAGGAAATCATCATCGTTCCAAATATAAAGAAATCAAACATAACCCTTTGCTTCAGTACCCCCAACAAACAATTCACAGTCACAAATAAGCATACACATTGAATAAATGCTGTATAACAGTGTACAATGCTGAATAAAACAGGATGTCGAATTATGTGCTGAAAAAAGTTCATTGAGATCGATAGATGCGCCTTTATTCCGCCGTTTGCTCTGATATGATTAATTTACTTATTAAAAGCTTTATAAACGTTGACTGTCTTCTTGATTCAGAACCAGAAGTTTGATCTAATAACAAACTGAATAAGTGTAATTTGCACATACATTGTCGCTTTAATTTGACTGTTTTCAATTGCTTTAATAAAATGCTTTATTAGACGTCTTATAAATGTTTTCTAGCTCCATTATTAGATTTCATTGCGTTGCTTTACAATATTGCTGTCTAAAGGTGAATACAGTCAGCAAAATAGCTCTTATACCACTATGCGTCAATGTTTTAGTTGAATGCTTTATAAACGACGTATTGGATTCATTATTCCACAACACTGCCCAAAAACAATTCAGAGTAACAAATAAGCATATAGATTGAATAAATGCTTTATAACAGTGTACAATGCTGAATAAAACAGGTTGTCAAATTATGTGCTCAGAAAACCTCATTGAGATCGATGATGCGCCTTTATTCCGCTCATTGCTCTGATTTGATTAATATACTTATTAAAATCTTTACAAACGATGACTGTCTTCCTGATTCAACACCAGAAGTTTGATCTAATACCATACTGAATAAGTGTAATTTGCACATACATTGACGCTTTAATCCGACTGTTTCAATTGATTTAATAACATGCTTTATTAAACGTCCAATAATTGTTTTCTAGCTCCATTACTAGATTCCATTGCATTGCTTAACAATATTGCTGAATAAAGGTGAAAACAGTCAGCATAATAGCTCTTATACCACTATGCGTCCATGTTTTAATTGCATGCTTTGTAAATGCTTTACAAACGGCGTATTCATTCATTATTCCACAACACTGCTCCAGGCTAACAACAAAACGAAATTGGTAGCATAGTGGTTACCGTTTCCGCTTTCCAAGTAGAAGGTCGTGAGTTCAATCCCAGCCTCAACCCTTTTTTTATTTATTTTCTACGCCTAATTAATTTAAATCGTAATCATAAATCGTATCACTCAGGAGAACCAATTCATAGATCTATCGAAAATAATAGCATCCTTTGCATCAAAATTAGAGAGATGGAGAGATAACGTTGGTCTAATGTTAAACAACTATGAATGAATTAATCATTCTCACATCTCCTTGAATTAGCTAGAGTTACGGCTGGAAGTGCTGATAGGTTTTCAGATGCAAGCTTTTATTGCTTATTTAGCTGCCCATATGATGTAATCTAGGATAGCTCAGATGGCAAGGCAAGCGGCTGGTGATCGGAAGGTCATGGTTCGAATCCCATATAAAACGACATGTGTGTGTATGTATGTATGTAATAGATTTTCTAGATCTTGTATGGTGGGTGCGCGACCAGCCTAAGGCTTGAAAGCCTCCTAAATAAAGCTAAATTAATTAATTAATGGTGGGTGCGCGTGCTTCGACCGAAATAAATGACACAACAATCACTGACGAGAACACAACCCTGCTCTTCTGTGTCGTTCTTATTTTCGGATTAATTATTCCGTAGTTGAATAATCGTTTAATATTAAATGTATAATAGTGTCTTATTAAACATTATTTCACATGAGAATCACGCGTCTATATACACCTTTATACCATCGCTGTTTAAGGAAGTAAATGATGTCTAATAAACGCTCTGTTACAACTCTTTTTAGTCGAATAAAAGCTTCTCGACATACCTTATTCAACACCAAATATTTCGATGTTGAGGTTGAATAAATTCTCCAGATTTGTGTGAACAAAGCCTGAACAGAAGTTATTATTAAAAATAGTACAATTATTATTAAGCATGAAGTGGAATAAAATCGTCAAGAAGTCGTTTCTTCAATAGGCAATTGTTTGTTGGGCCGTCAACCTCCATGTCCATGGGGAGGG